AACCTCCACCTCCCGGGTTCAATTGATTCTCCTGCCTCAGCCTCCCACATAGCTGGGACTGCAGGCGACCACCATCACACCAGCTTGCTTGCTTGCTTGCTTATTTATTTATTTATTTATTTGTATTTTTAGTAGAGACAGGGTTTCACCATGTTGGCCAGGCTGGTCTTGAACTCCTGACTTTGTGACCCTCCCGCCTCGACCTCCTGTAGTGCTGGGATTACAAGCGTGAGCCACCTTGCCTGGCCAATTTTTCCTTTATTTCAAGTCATTGTATACCTTTTATACATCTGCTATTTCCCCAGCATGGTACTGAAATACTCTGGAAAATTTAAAAGAGGTAACATAGCTTTTGATCATGAGTAATCTACAATCTAGTTATGAACATAAAATTTAAGACATTATAACATAAAGTATAATGAAGTATGGAATATACCATTAGTGCTATAGAAATTTAAAAAGGAAGATAGTTAATGAGGCAAGGTTAGTCTGTGAGATCATTTTTAGCTGAGCATAGAAAGAATTACAAAATTTAAGCCAGGTACAGTGGCATGCACCTGTAGTCCCAACTACTGAGGAGGCTGAGACAGGAATATTGCTTTAACCCAGGAGTTCAAGGCTAGCCTGGGCAACAGAATGAACCCTGTCTCTACTAAATAAATGTTTCGGTTGCCCTAAATATACGCAGCTGAGTTGAAGATGAAAAGAATTTCAGAATTTAAATTGATTGCGGCTGGGCGTGGTGGCTGATACCTGTAATCACAGCACTTTGGGAGGCTGAGGCATGTGGATAACCTGAGATCAGGAGTTTGGGACCAGCCTGGCCAACATGGTGAAATCCTGTCTCTACTAAAAATACGAAAATTTGCTGGGCGTGGTGGCAGTTGCCTGTAATCTCAGCTCCTGAGGCATGAGAATTGCTTAAGCCTAGGAGGCGGATGTTGCAGTGAGCCAAGATCGCACCACTGCACTCCTGCCTGGGGGATAGAGTGAGACTCTGTCTCCAGTAAATAAGTAAATAAATTGATTGATTGATTGGGGCTTGAGAAGAGAATTTCACATTATTCAGATGATCTTTGCCAAGACATGCAAGCAAGGCTTTTATTTTATCTAGTTTGGTGAGAACAAGTAACATTTGCAAGCATGTATTAAGTACCAAGTATACTGTGTTTCTCCTCAGTATCTCATTTAGTCCTCAGCAGCTCTATAAGTTTTCTTAATGCTAATATTCATATTTAATTTAACATTTCTTAATATGAGCCTTTTAATTGATCAGTTCATTTAATGTAATTTTTTTCTCCCTCCCTTCTCCAAAACCTGATTTGATGGTGGGCTCATGATTGTAGTATGGTATATTTTATCCCTAGTTTACAGACAGTTTTTTTTTTTGTTTGGTTTTTGTTTTTTTTTAAGTAGCATTATCTTTAATAGTCAAAAGGAGGCAACAACCTAAATGTCCATCTGTGGATAAAGGAATAAACAAACTCATATATACATACAATGGAATATTATTTAGTCAAAAAAGGAAAAAAGTAATGGCACATGCTACAACTTGAATAAATATTAAAAACATGCTAAGTGAAAGAAGCCAGACACAAAAGGTCACATACTATATGATTCCTTTCATCTACAGGCTTAGGTTCAAAGACTTATGAAGTATTAGAGAATTTAGGATTTGTAACCAGCTCTGTCTAATTTCAAAGGCTGTGTTCTTAACTCTACTACTTTATGTTACTTTCCTTTACAATACAGAAATCTAGCTAGAACAGTTTAGTCCTAGGAAGTAGTGGAAATTAAGTTTGGAAAGAAATCCAGCTTATGAAAGATTTGGAATTATATGCTGAGAAGTTTGGATTTGATCAAGCAATAATGGGAATTACTTTGGATTACAAATGTGTATCCTTTTGTTATTTTTAAGACTCTTTTTCTATCACCTTGGTCAGTTTTTGATTTGGGCTTATTTACTCGAAAATAAAATTGCCTTTTAAATTACATTTGTAGGTACCCTAGAAAAAGAAATAGTTTGATAGAACTTCCTGATGACTATAGCTGCCTCCTGAATCAAGCTTCTCATTTCAGGTAAGGAGAGTATGTGTATATAAGTGTATAATTTTAAATTGTTTTCTGAACTTGCAATTGGTATACATCATAACCAACATACTTTTTGTTGTTGTTGTTTTGTTTTGTTACTTTTTTATTAATTTTTATTTTTTAAAGACAGGGTCTTGTTCTGTTGCCCAGGCTGGAGTGAAGTGATGTGACCATAGCTCACTGCAGCCTCAAACTCCTGGGCTCTTCCCACCCCAGCCTCCCAAGTAGTGAAACTACAGGCAGGCGCCACTGTGCCCTGCTATATTATTTTTTGATTTTTAGTAGAGATCAGATTTCGTTATGTTGCCCAGGCTGGTCATGAACTCCCAGGCTAAAGTAATCCTCCTGCCCTTGGCCTTCCAAAGTATTGGGATTACAGGCATGAGCCACTGCACCTGGCCACAAACCTCCTTTTTTAACGGTGACCTCTGAGTGTCAAAACAACGACTGTCAATTTTTTTTTGATTGAGGGAAAATCCACATAACATGCAGTTAATCATGATAAAGTGTACAGTTCAGTGACATTTAGTGTATTCATAATATTTTTCAACTACCTAACCTCTTTAGTTTGCAAACTTTTTCATCACCCCAGTGAAATACTTGTATTCACTAATCGCTTCCTGTTCCCCTCATCCCCTACCCCATGGTAATCTGTAATCTACTTTCTGTCTCTATGGATTTGCCTGTTTTGGATATATTATATGAAAGGAATCATACAGTGTGTGACCTTTTGTGTCTGGCTTCTTTCACTTAGCATGTTTTTAATATTTATCCAAGTTGTAGCATGTGTCATTACTTTTTTCCTTTTTTGACTAAATAATATTCCATTGTATGTATATATAAGAGTTAGTTTATTCCTTCATCCATAGATGGACTTTTAGGTTGTTTCCTCCTTTTGACTATTACAGATAATGCTACTAAAAAAAAAATACTCATGTACAAGTTTCTTTATGGACATAACATTTTCATTTCTTTTGGATATATGCCCAGGAATAGAATTGCTGAGTCAGACAGTAATTCTGTGTTTAACTTTTTGAAGAGCTGTCAAACTGTTTTCCACAGTGGTTGCACCATTTTATGTCCCAACCAGCAATGTGTGAGGGCTCCTTTTTCTCACATCCCTGCTACCCTCTCAGTGAACCAGCTGAGAGATCTAAACATACAACCTCAATTTTTGGAAGACAGGTCTCTATTGTCTACGCTGGCAGAAGCAAGCCACACCAGAAAAACAAGCCATCATCCCCATGGCTACCTGGCGTGGGGTTTGGAGATAGAGGATGCTAACCACTACACAAAATGCCAAAACTCACCAAAATTTACCAGTTTCTTCCTTTATCAAGCGTTCCCCTGGATGCTGCAAGTATTTGACCAGGCTCCAGAGTTCCAAAATAGTTGCTTCAGGCCAGACATGGTGGCTCACACCTGTAATCCCAGCACTTTGGGAGGCCAGTGTGGGTGGCTCAGTTGAGGTCAGGAGTTCAAGGCCAGCCTGGCCAACAGGGTGAAACTCTGGCTTTACTAAAAATACAAAAATTAGCTGGGCATGGTGGGGTGCACCTGTAATCCCAACTACTGGGGAGGCTGAGGCAGGAGAATCACTTGAACCCAGGTGGCTGAAGTTGCAGTGAACTGAGATCATGCCACTGCACTCCAGCATGGGGGACTAAGTAAGGATACTCTGTCTCAAAGATAAAAAGTTGCTTCAGACAGTTCTTGCTGGCTTAATAGTTGTTTTATTAGAGTGACTGATTCCTGGAGCTCCCTACCCTACCATTTTCTATGATATCACTCCTTAATTTTCCTTTTTTTTCTTTCAAGCCACAAGAACCCTTATTAAACAAAGTCTTACATGGAAATCTATTAAACAGCAAAACAGGTAATAGCATCATGACTCAGGTTCAAGCTTGAAGAGTGGAGTACACCCCCTCAGGCTTTTTTAGCACCATCTCCCTCACCTCCCACTTCAATCAAAACCACTCTAAAGCAGTAGTTCCCGAACATTTTTATCTCTTTCACCCCTTTCACTGATGATTTCAAGTGGAAAAAGAATTAGACGATAACAAGACTGGTGAAAACAAAATAGACAAGTTAACAATATATAGTACTTATTACTAACACCATGTGTGAGTTACCTATTAGTTACTTCTGTAAGAGAGCATAAACCTAAACATGTTTCTATATGATAAAATAATATCCTATAGCTTAAAAATAATTTTGTATCTTACTATACTCACCTTGCTATAATATGTTGTAAGCTATTTGAGTAGCATGAATCGTGACCACCACCAGTGAGATGTCACTGAATGGAGGAATTATATTCACATCTGCTGGTGGTGTAAATACTTCATATTTGAATCATATTGCATCATGTCTTGGAAATACTAAGTCAAAACTTCTGCTGATATAACTGTGTGTTCTGGACACTCAGGAGGCATCATGTCACCTCCCATAGCAAACCACATTGATAATGATGACATGAAACGAGTAGTAACTTGTAACTAAAAGACAAGAATATCAGTAGCCTGAAAATCAAAGTCTATTCAAGACAGTTGATTTACTAGTACCTAATCATCCTTTCTCAAAATTGCAGGAATTCCAAAGCTCCTTTAAGAGTTTTGTAATGTTGCCAGGCGCAGTGGCTCACGCCTGTAATCCCAACACTTTGGGAGGCTGAGGCGGGTGGATCATGAGGTCAAGAGATCGAGACCATCCTGGCCAACATGGTGAAACCATGTCTCTACTAAAAAAAAAATTAGCCGGTCGTGGTGGCACATGCCTGTAATGCCAGGTACTTGGGAGGCTGAGACAGGAGAATCGCTTGAACCCAGGAGGTGGAGGTTGCAGTGAGCTGAGAAAGTGCCATTGCACTCCAGCCTGGGCAACAAGAGCAAAACTCTGTCTCCAAAAAAAAAAAAAAAA